TCTCCACCCCTCCCCTGTGTGTATGCACTTGCTCTCTAATTTACATGCACGCACGCACACACACACACACACACACACACACACAATAACAACAACAACAGCAGCAAAACCCAGAGGTGGTGGAGGAGACAACTCTTGGGCATTTGTGGCCTAAAGTTCAACAGTCCAGTGTGGGGAAGCAGCTTGGAGGTCACGACACCCAGAGTGCGCACACGTGCCTCTGGCCTGCACAGCGCACCACGCGAGTGAGGCGAACTTTGGGACCTACCAACACCTCACCTTTCCAGCATCAAGTGTGGGAAGGAGACGTTTGCTTCCATGCACATAAAGAATATGCGAAGAATGACAGAGACACAAAGCAGAGAGGGCACGATGGGAACCATCAGGAAGGGAGGTCCGGAAACTAAGAGACGGTGCCGGAGGGAGTGCGTGCGCTCGGGGGAGCCGCAGAGGGGCCAAGACAAGAGACCACCGGGGAGCAGCAACCTTGGGGGTGGCGGCCTGGGCCTGCTTCACGGACCAGGGCCTCGCCTTCTTGGTTCTAGAGCTCGCCCTCCTTAGGGTCCTCTGAGCAGAACCACTGCTCCACTATTACGTCTTTTACGGTTTGCTATGTGTTTAGGTGTGAACGTATCACATTCGGGGCCATACTGTCACCCAAATGCAAGAACCTCTCCTTGAGAAAATCACCTCATAAAACTTCAGATTCTGGCCAGCTGCTCAGGAAGCCACCCTCACGGCTGAGGCACATCCTTGCTTCGAATGCAGCCAAGCTGGACTGGATATTTCTGCCATCCTCCATGCCTCCAACTCTAATGACTTGTGCTCCCTGCTTGTGCTCTCAGTCGAGCTACATCTTACATGGAGATGGGAAACTGGAAACTCAAGCCCATGTGCTGACAAAGGGTGTTCCAAGAGCTGGAAAGCCCGGGGAAACCCAAAAAAGGGAAGCGTCAGATAAACAAAGAACATGGCTCCTGCTAACAAGAAAGTACTAACCGCCACACAGATGGAGGCAAACGAGCTCGACATCAAGCCCGGAGGGAAACGAAGAGTACCATCTAGGCAGCGCCGCTGAAGGCAGGGAGGAACAACCATACGCAGACAGGTGTGCCCTGCTGATAAAAAAAACAGAACAAAACAAAACAAAACAAAAAACAGTTTTCTGACAATCCGTATTCATGCAAACATGTCAGCAAGCACTTTTTCATGACATCTGATGCCAAACGCCCAGCGGGAGGTGGGGGCCTGGGGTGGACACACTGGCAAAGTAAAGACCAGAGAGGACGAGATTCTCAACCAGACAAACGTGCAGATCGTAACCACAGATGAAAAGCCCCACTTGGGAGAGAGGGAGAGCGGGGGTGGGGTGACAAGGACTGGACAGACAGCCGGCCGCAGGCTCACAGCTGGAGGAGACCCTGGCCTCCCCGCAGCATACAACTGGGGCCTCAATCCTTTAGGAAAACAATAGCTATCTGAGGCCCAGTGCTGCCAATATCCCTTGATTTAGGGATTTTTTTTAAAGCGCTCGTTCCACCCCGACTGTGTAAAGATGCTGTGTCTCTACTGGCCCAGGGCCAGAGTCCTGCCATCTGGACAGGGGGAGACAGGCTGGGGGCTTGGTCCGCTTGGCTGACAAGCCACAAAGAGCCACGTCCAGGCGGCCACTGCCCGGAGGCCATGCGTGGACTGGAGGCAGAGGCAGCTGAGTGTGTGAGAGGATCCATTCCCCTGCAGCACCAACTTTACTTGGAAATACGAATGAAAAACATAAAACATGGCCACGTGGAGCGGGTTACAGTATTTAACTTTTAGAATAAAGCAAGAGATTTCACAGAGTGCTGGCCCATATCTCAGCGCCCTTCCCAACCCCGCTAGCAGACCCCCATGCCCAGTAATGGGGTGAAGGCGGGAGCCGCTGGGGCGCCGCTGCGACGCCTCGACCCTCCACGCGCCCGTGCCGGGCATGGCACCCCGCGCCGGCCGCAGCCAGCACAGGCGCACCAGGAGCCTCCCTGGGCACCACAGCACCTTGCTTTCTGGGCTCCCGGGCCACCTCGCTGCTTGTCACGTTACACAGGCCCCTCGTGATCCGTGCAGCCAACATGGCATTTGTCATCCTCAGCGCTTCCCATTCCTGTCTGACTTGTCTCTGCCTGCGCCGCAGCTGCCTGTCCCGCCCCGAGGAGTGTGCCGCCGCCCCCCCCAGCCGCCCCCCCCAGCCGCCCCATCGGAACCGTCCTCATCCCTGACGCCTCAGCACTCCTGATCTGCCTCCCCGGTCACCACCACCTCTGTGGGTACAAGGAAGACGTTCTTTTTTTTTTTTTTTTTAAGATTCTATTTTATTTTCTTACCTAATCTCCACACCCAACGTGGGGCTCAACCCCACAATCAGAGCCACACCCTCCGGCACCTGAGCCGGCCGGGCCCAGGGTGTACATTCTGCTGTCATGGAGACGTTGTCCGGTTCGGTTTTCTTACCTGCAGTCTTCCAGCTAACATAACTCATCTTGAGCTTCTAGTCCAAACTTCACATATTTTTACACATAAGGAAAATCAGGCACTGACAAGCAATGTGCTTGCAAGGTCCCCAAATCACTAATCGGCCATCAGATAAGGACAAAACTGAAGACATTTATACGCAGAAGAAACATATATGAACTAAAGCCAACATATTTTTAGAAGTCAGATGTTTTCTATCACACACCACACACCACATAACGGAATGCTATGCCACTGGGCACAAAAGGGAATGAGGTGAATCCCTGTACACTGCTGTGGTGTGAGCCTCGTGACAGGGTGTTCAGTTAAAAACAAAAACAGAAAAGAAGATGCAGAGAAGCTGCACGTCATCAGTGTCTGAGAAAGAGGGTTGTGTACACACACACACACACACACACACACACAGTAAAAACAGGTGTGCAGGAAGAAACAGTGTATAAAGATCAGTAACAGAAGCTTGATTTCTAAAAATATTTAATTTTGATTTGGAAACATGAAGATGTTTTATAAACCCTCAACAAAATTTTAAAAGAAGCTATTCCTTAAAATTCAAATAAAAAGGAACATAACTGGTAAACAGGTGGCTGGCAAACTGAAGAACTGGTTCAAGTGACTTCAAAACTTAATTCGGCAAACAGCCCCCCAGGAATATATACTCTAAGGACAAAAAGCTGTGGAAAATCCTAAACTGTTTTCAGTAATTATATTGTTGCTAACACGTTGGTATTGTTATTTTAAAATGATCACATATATTTTATAGGATAAAACAAATAAATAACGATGCTAACGTTGCTGGGAACCAAGGTTTGCAGCATTAGAGAAAAGTGATACCAATGTAAACTCAAAGAAGTAAAAACCAAATACTACTAAATGTGAAACAAACATCAGTATGAACTCCTGATATTTTCCTGTAAAACGCGTATTTGTCTGTGTGTCCACACAAAAGGCCTAGCAGCGAGTGGCCCCAGTGCCCAGACAGTGGTCTCAAGACGCCAGTTTCTACAAGAGGGAACCAGAGCTACGCGGACAAGAGCCAACGCCAGGCCCGGGGCAAAGAAGTCTGGAGCAGATGCGAGCACTTTATCACACCAGGAGGCAGGGAAGGGAGGGTGCGGGTCATACCAGGAGGCAGGGAAGGGAGGGTGCGGGTGACATCAAAGGACAAGGAGCCCGCTTAAGGAGGCTCCACCGGCCACGAGCGGCTCCGTGTTGGCATCTGTAAGAATCCCAACCGCGAGGGGCTGAAATGTGCCAGGTTTAAATTCATGAGTTGCTAACACAACCTGAAACAGCCACCGGTGGCTTTGGGCTACGAGCCATCTGGCTAGTGAGCTCGGACAGAGAGAAGCCGGCATTTACTCCCGTCTTCCTACGGACCTGCCCCTTAGGGTAACCAAAGACTGAACGAGGGGCAGTTTCCATCAGACACAACCGGGGAAGCTGGAATGGTCCTGGGATAATGAGTAATTTTTAAAACTGCAGTTTTCCTGATACTTGAGAATTTATCAAAAATAACTATATATAAATCTCACTATGGATGCAAGCATTTCAAACCCATTTTTATCTTCAATTTATTGTTCTAACATAGTAAAGAGTTCTTAATTTCAAGTATAATGTGCCACTCAATCACAAATTAGAGACTAAAACAGGGTATTTTGTTTCCTTTCAAACTCCGAGAGAAAGATGGTTAAGGAGCAAACAGTTCATGCACCAAAACCTGCAATCCTGGAGCGCCTGGCTGCCTCAGTCAGAGGAGCATGTGACTCTTGATCTATGGGTTGAGTTCGAGCCCCACATTAGCTGCAGAGATTACTTAAAAATAAAATCTTAAAGGAAAAAAAAACCCCGCAATCCTCAGCAGGTGCCCACGGGGCCCCTTCAGTGCAGCGGCGTCTTGCTCGGAGAGCCAGGCCTCGGAGCTTCCAGAGGGCAGGTCCACGGGGCAGAAATTCCTATAATCACCCTTGGCTTCAAACACATGCATCAGTGCTGGGCCGTCAAACATAATGTCGATTATTTTCAAAGTTTAATGCTGCTTTAAAAAAATGAAAAATAAAATGAAGGTTTGACACACACCAAAATATGGTGCTATGTGTGCAGAAGATACTCAAATACATGTGTTACAAAGTGAAATTACTAAAACCCAAAATGAGTACATTCAGGATGGGTTTTTTTTTTTAATTTAAAAAAAATTTTTTTTTAATTTATTTCTAGGAGAGAGAGAGAGAGAGAGAGAGAGAGACAGCGTGAGCAGGGGACGGTCAGAGAGAGAGGGAGTCACAGACTGAAACAGGCTCCAGGCTCTGAGCTGACAGCACACAGCCCGACACGGGGCTCGAACCCACGAACCGCGAGATCATGACCTAAGTGAAAGTCGGACGCTTAACCGACTAAGTCACCCAGGCGCCTCTCAGGATGTTTTTTATGACTTTACTTTTACGAAAAGCAAACAAGTTCTAGCCGCAAAAAGAAATCTATATGAGTTAACATACCCGTGTGTCATATGCTGTGAGAAGATACACCAAGGCCCGATCAGGCAGGAAGAGATGTCAACAGAGAAGGCAGCAAAGCAGCGTCAGTCTTACCCTTCTTCAAAGAACGTAGTGGAGCCTCTTACCTGAGGAATAAGAACAATACTTGGTCATCTCACACCAGGAACATTTTTAAAACTTTTAAAACTAGAATTTCAAGAATTTAAATTAAAAAAAAAAAGATCAAGAAAGGTTTAAATAAAACATTTTAACCATCCTTTATAAACACATGCTTTGGATTTTCTACATTTTTCGAGTGGGACACAAATTACAAAGTCAGGGTATCTTCAGACTATTTTTATTTTAAAATAACTTTTATCACAAAGTATTACATATAAAAAGGACAGGAAACATGTGTGCTCAGTACATAAACACTAGTGCAGCTACCACGGAGGCCAAGGAGCAGAGCACTGCTGAGACACCACGAAAAGGGGAGGAGGCGACTCTGACCCCAAACCCTTTCTTCCCGCTGCCCTGACTTACGGTGACCATTTCCTCACTTTAGATTCATCTCCTAGGTACGTGGTTCTGATAGAGCTTTCTTTTGCCAACTTTTGAATTTTAAGTAAACAGAATCATAGTTTGATTCCTTTGTCTTGCTCTTTTTTGTTGCTCCACCCCCATTTATTTTCATTGCTTTGTAGTGTTCCATCGTGTAAACAGACCCTAATCCATTCATCCATCCCCGGTCCCCCGGGTAGTTTCTGCTTAGGAGCAAAGACACACCACTGAGACCTGGGGCTCCTGGGTGCCTCAGTCAGGTAAGCGTCCAACTCTTGGTTTTAGACTCAGGTCATGATCTCATGGGTTCGAGCCTCTAGTCAGGCTCTGAGCTGACAGCACAGAGGCTGCCTGGGATTCTCTCTCTCCCACTCACACTCTCTCATGCTCAAAATAAATAAATAAATAAATAAAAACTTAATTTAAAAAAAAACACACTACACAGATCTTTCTGGTGCAGCTATCTTAAGCACTTGAGCAAGTATTTCTCTGGTGTACGTACCTAGAAATGTGACTGCTAGGTTATTCCGTAAGCGTATATTCAACTTTGCTAAAGGAAGCCAAACTATTTCTCAAAGCGGTTATAACAATTTATGCTCCCTCCAGAAGGGTATGAGAGAGTTTTTGGTGCTTAACTTCTTCAACAAGACTTGTTAGACTTCTTAATTCTTGCTAACTGAATGGCTGTGTAGTGCTTTACTAAGAATTCTTTGTTACATAGAATTTAATATTTTGAATAAACAATTCATGAAATTTTACATCTGACAATGGCAGCAATGCAAATTTAGTTTTGCCACCAAGTATTTGTTCATTTTTCCAATGGTTACTGGACTACGGTTTCTCATCAGGTTTAATTAACTCCCCAATCTCAGTCCACCAGCCCCCAGGCACAGGGGGACGGGAGTCTGTCGAGCGTCCTAGTCCCTGGGCAGAGGTGGTTCATCCCTGTGAATATACAAAGTCAAAATTAATGAAGTCTTTTCTTCCTCCTCTGGGACTCAAAGAGAGTCTCTCTTCCCCAAAGAACCAGAACATGCGGAAAGCAATCTGCCCCCTAGGAGTACCTATACTGGCCTTTGTGTGAGCAAGAAATAGAAATAGATTTGTTTAAAATAAGCTACTTATTTTGTTATAAGAACTAGTGTTTAATGTGAAATGACATTTATTACTGACTATTATTCTCTAGTCCTGCTTTTTGTCTTAAAAGTGTATGTCATCTGACACTATACAATCTTGTTTTTGGTGTTTGCATAGTTTAGTTTTTTATTACTTAACTTTCAACATTTCTTAATCCTTATAGATGAATGTCTTGTAAACAGCATAGCTGGAATTTTTAAAAATCTTATTTAAAAAAAATCTTGTCTTTGTCTTCGAAATGGAAATTTTTACTGTTTACATTGGAAGCCATCACATACACCTGGGTAAATTTAATTCTCCTACTGTTCCAGAGGCTTGTTTTCTTCTTCGAATCCCAACCTAACCTAACCTACCAGGGGCAATTTGCCTTCTTTTGGATTCTAACTCCCGCATCCTAGTAATCTAGAAATCACATGTTCTGAGTTTTATTCTTCTAATGATTACTTTAGAAATACAATATGCAGGCTCTTCTCAAAGGCCACTGCTATTATCTTTCCTCTTCTCTTGGACAGCAAAGACTTTAAAACACTAATTCCACTCATCATACTGCCAAGTTATGTCCTGCTGTTGTGTTTACACGTGCATATATTTTCGTCATTATTAACGTTTTACATTAACACTCATTTTTGTTGGACAGAGACCCCTTTCCTTTCGTGGAGTGAAGGTGTTACTCCTGGTGCTCTCTGGCTCTCGTTGCTGGCGTTCGGAAGCTGCCTGCCTGCTGTTCCTTTGTGGGCTGCCGTGTGCTTCACTTCCCTGTGCCTGGCTGTGCATTTCTTCTTACTCAGGGTTTCCTGCCCATCATTTGTTGAACATCTTAAAACTGTGGTTTGGATTGTTTCAACTTTCTGGAAAATTGTCAACCATTATCTTCTCAAACTGTTCCGCACTGTCCCTCTCCTCTACTTCCAGAACCCAATCACACGTACGTCAGACTTCGCTACCTCCGCCGTGTCTCCTGCCTTCCCTTTGCGTCCCCCTTATTTCTATCTGTGCTTCACTTTCATTTTCCTTTTGTGATCTATTCTGATGTGGATTATACTGATTGATTTTCCAGTGTTAAACCGATTTTCCTTTCTGAGACAAACCTGATTGTTATGTAATATCCTTTTTATGTTTCTACATGGATTATATTTGCTAAAGTTCATGGAAGACATGCACATACAACAGATACATTTGTTGGTTTTCCTTTATTACAATGTCTTTGTCTAGTTTTGCTTTCAGAGTAGTGCTGGCCTCATAGAATAAGGTAGGAAGCATTTCCTCCTCCTCAATTTTCTAAAAAAGTTTTTGTCTAATTAGTATTCCTACTTCTTTAAGTGTTTAATACAATTTACCAGTGAAGTCATTTGGGTCTGGAGTGTTCTTTGAGGTAAAGAGTTTAATTACAAATTCAATTTCTATAATAGATACAGTTATGAAGGTTATATATTTCTTCTTGAGTGAGCTTTGGTGGTTTGTATTTTTCAAGGAATGTTTTCATTTTGTCAAATTTACTGGCATAAAAAGTAATTCACAATTTTACCCTTATTACCCTTTCAATGTCTGTAGGATGTGTAGTGATACCCTCTTTTATATCCCTGATAGTAGCATTAGTGTTTCCGTTCTTTCCCACCGATGACAGATTTTCCTGGATATGACAGTCACTTTTAACTTACAACAGTTTACCTGCAAATACTATTATACCACTTTAAGCATATAGTTAACACCGTATTTCCATTTCTCTCCCCCCTTCCTTTGTGCTGTTTTCATTTATTTACCTCTGCAAGTATTGTAAGTCCCAAAATACACTGTTATTTTTGTTTTAAAGAGCCTATCTTGGGGTGCCTGGGTGGTTCAGTTGGTTAAGCGTCCGACTTCAGCTCAGGTCATGATCTCCTGGTTGGTGGGTTCGAGCCCCACGTTGGGCTCTGTGCTGACAGCTCAGAGGCTGGAGCCTGTTTCAGATTCTGTAACTCCCTCTCTCTGACCCTTCCCTGCTCATGCTCGCTCTCTCTCTCACTCAGAAATAAAACATTAAAAAAATTTTTTTAAAAACAGCCTATCTTTATTTTATTATTATTTTTTTAAGTTTGTTTATTTTGAGAGAGAAAGAGAAAGCAGGCCAGGAAGGTGGGGGTGGGGGGGGGGTGGGGAGAATCCCAAGCAGTCTCCACGTCAGTGCTGAGCCTGATGTAGGGCTCAAACACTTGAAACTGTGAGATCATGACCAGAGTTGAAATCAAGAGTTTGATACTTAACCAACTAAGCTACCCAGGTGCCCCTAAATAGCCAGTTAAAAAAAAAAAGGCAATTAGAAGTGAGAATATTTATCCATCTATTGACCATTTCTGGTTCTTTTTCATTCCTCTATGTAAAAATTTCCATCTGGTGTCATCTCTGTCTCCCTGAATGAACTTCCTTTAAAAGTTTCTTGTAGTGTAGGCCTGCCTGGGTGGCTCAGTCAGTTGAGCGTCAGCTACTTTGGCTCAGTCATGATCTCACAGTTCAGGTGGTTAGGCCCCACATGGGGCTCGCTGCCGTCAGCACAGAGCCTGCTTCAGACCCTCTCTCCTCTTTCCTCTCTGCCCCTCCCCCACTTGCACTCCCTTTCTCAAAAATAAACAGTAAAAAAAAATTTTTTTCTTGTAGTGCAAGCAGTTCTGCTGGCAATAAATTCTGTCAGCTTTTCTTGGCCTAGAAATTTTGATTTCGCTTTTATTTCTGAATGCTATTTTCTCTGGGCACAGAATTCTAAACTAACAGGTTTTTCTTTTGGTACTTTAAACATGTCATTCTGTTGTCTTCCGGCTAGCACAAGCCAGATCAGAAGCCAGCTGCCATTTCTATCTTCGCTCCTCTGTAATGTCTTTTCTTCTCACTGCTTTTTAAGTTTTGGGGTCGTTTTTCTTTTTCCCTTTATCACTGGTTTTTTAGGAACTGGATGTTGCAGTATGTTAGTATGATTTTCTTTGTTTACTCTATTTGGGATCTGGGGATTTTTGAGCTTTGTGGTTTGTAGTTTTCATCATATTTTTAATTTTTTTTCCAGCCATTATTTCTTCAAATGTTGTTTCCATTCCCTGCCTTTCTGGAACTCCAGTTACACATAACTTGGAACAGGTGACTTTGTTTCGTAGGTCCCTAAATGCTGTTATTCTCTTCATCTTTCTCTATTCTTTCTGCTGTATTTTGGACTGTTTCTACTGCTAAGTCTTGAAGTTTACTGAGCTTTCTGTAGTGCCAACCTGCTGTTAACCTCTCTACTGCATTTTTCACTTGATATTGTCCTTTTCACCCAGAAGTTTTATTTCAATCTTTTAAAAAAATCTGCATTTTGCTCACTATGCCCATTTTCCTCTACATTTCTGAATATGTGTAACTTATTTATAACAGTTATTTTAATGTCCTTGTCTGCTAATTCCATCATTTCTATTATTTTTGGGTCTGTTTCTACTGATTGATTTTT